TTTAAAGATTTGAGGTAAGTCCAGAATTTCTGACTGTCTTTGTTTTGTATGAGGTCCTCAACTTGAGAATCTAGTAATTTTGCTTTTTTGTGTTTAACCAATTTCTTAAAGTTTTTACGCATGCTGTGATAGTCGTGTCTGAGACTTTCATCATAAGGTTTTTTATGTTTCTTGTTAGATAGTCCCCTTAAATTTTTCCTTAAAAGGGCACAGTCCTTATCAAACCATAATTTATGCTTTTTTGGTTTCTTTTGTGTACAAGCTAATCTGAGAGAACAGGCGCATATATCATTTAAAATGTTTGTAAAATGTTCCGTAGCAGAATCAATGCCTTCACTGTCCATGGCAAAATTAGTATTTTCAAATAGATTTAATTGTGAGAGGAATTTATCTTGTTTTAAGATATTAAGAAAGTGTTCTCGTGAAGTTTCATTCCAGATGAATTGTTTAGGAAGATCAAATGCTTTTGCTTGCGGAGGAGTATTTGTTGGAGGGGAAATTGATGGGGAAATATTCAGCCAACAGATAAGTTGAGAGTGATCCGAGAAAATTGTTGGTTCTTTAATAAAATTTTCCTTCAAGCTTAATATTTCATGACTAACAACGAAGTAGTCTACGGTGCTGATTCCTTTTGGAGAATGATAAGTAATGTTACCAAAGGAGTCCCCTGTCGTCCTCCCATTTACGATTCGTAAGTCACATGACTTGCAAATGTCTAGTAATGATTTACCGTGTTCATTTATATGGGTGTCGTAATTTCTCCTTTTTCTTAGGTTGCGCTTAGGAAAGAGGTTATCGCTGGGTATATGATTATTTTGATCAATGTCAACGAAATCTAGAGCAGAGCCTGTTCTAGCATTGAAATCACCTGTCAACATAATAAAGCCTTCTGCACTATAATAAGCAATGTCGTTTTCGAGATCATCAAAAATGTCAGGGTTAAAATAGGGCGAGTCCCGAGGGGGCACGTAAATGGCACATAAAAATATATCCTGATCTATAGCAAAATAGTTTTTATCAATTTTGCACCACAAAAAATTAGTATGATATGAGATTAATTGGATGCCTTTCTTGAAGGTAGTTCTAAAACCAAGAGCAATTCCACCTGAAGATCTGCCATTTTTCTTTCGATGATGTTTTTTACTGGGGTTTGTGAAAAATTCATAACCTGGCAAAGAAATTTCATCTGACCTCCAAGTTTCAGTCAATACAATTATATCACAATGATTGAAAAAACGTAAAAAATCAGTATTTGATAATTTGTTACCCATAAAGAAATTTTCGGATAAACCATTCGCATTCCAACTAGTTATAGATAAAACGCTAGATCTAAGAGAGGACATATTCTATAACTACCACTCAACTAAGGAATAGCAGTAAAAAACAACTCAAATGAAGTAAGATAAAGTAATGGATGAAAATCAAAGTAGGAAAAGGATATAGGGTATCATTGATGACGTGTAGATTCATAAAGTCTCAAGAGTTCCATAACAGTGTTAATGTTTATTGATTGGGGTTTCATTCCAGCTTGGGTGGTTGTTTCTGGAGGGGGCATCCTCGCCATTTCAGCATAAGACGGTTGTGGTACTGATTGCGTTACTGGTTGTGGTTGATTTGGAACATGATACGAACTTCACGCTTGAAAATCAGTCAGCCTTGAAGGGTCAAAAGCTTGGGCTTTGTCTGTAGTCCCTCATTTTTCTCTCTCCCCACTGCATGTCGCCTTTTCTCACATGGGGTTATTTTCACGCGGGCTCCATTTCGCTCTCTCTACTATCCCTGAGGAAAAATGGGGACTACTCGTAGTCTAGTGGATGGCAGGTTCATTCTTTTTATAATCCCTTATTTTATTGGTGGTGTTCTTTGTGAAAGGAAACAGTTAAAATAAGCCACTTGTGAAATAAATCCATAAAAAATTAACACCTTGCAGTCCATGATGAAGACCATTGCCTTTCCAGTATATGGATTTCTGGTAATGAAATTTTCTGCTGCTGGGTCATCATGAAAATGCAGCTTCACAAATTAGCGATTACAATCTGCCCCATCTCGAATACAACAGTATATCCTGTCTATCAAACATGTCATCACCATCCTAAAAACCCATTGAACATTACGAGCACGTTCTCATTGTGAGCAGATTGTTCTGTCAGTTGGTCTCCATCCACAAAAACTCTATCCAGAACCACATTGCCACTGTCCTTCTTCAACTGTGGTACATACTTAGACGGGACAGACATCAGGTGCTGAGACATTTCCCCAGAAATGCTGGTGTTAAGAATTCCAAACCAAGAAAACACTAGAAAAAACAGTGGGAGCAATTCTATGTAACTGTCATCTCTCTCATCAAGAAAAACTTTGGTGCCAACAGGAGTCCAAACAACATAGTGATGTGCAGAACATTTCCAGCATGATTTGATGGGTATGGTTGACACATACATTTTTGTAAGGAACTGATTTGCCTCCCATGAAAGAACGTTTATTCTCCAGAACTGTTTTCCTTTTCCCACTGAATTCTATGATTTCATCTGGTGACGGACCAAGCCATGATTGATTTTGATTATGCTCATCATTTAAAAGCCAAATTCCAGTTTCTCTTGCAATATTATTACGTTATCTGTTTTTTGCCTCAAAAACTTTTTAGGTAGGTGACAAGAGCACTGTCTTCATTGATAGAACCCCATAACATTGTCAAATTTGATTCATTTCCTTCTTTAGTTACCTCATGTAAATCATTACATAAATCATTCCAGTAATCATTCATGGCCTGTGCTTCTTCTAAAAATTTACAGAGAAAAGAGGATGGAAGCCATTACCTGTGTATAATTGTACACTGAAAATGTCTTACCCCGCCGATTGGTCTATAATTTTAGTTGATTATCCTTAAAAATTGTAAATTCGGCATTGCACTGGAGATGGATTTTTGTCTTCATTGCCGGCTGACATGTTGCTGAGACCTGATGGCATTACCTGAATATATCTTGACCGTATCCAATTGTGAAGTGGTCAACAGTGTTATCGGTTAAACATCACACTAAAAACGTTTTTTTATTCCTTCTCTGGCCAGGCAAAACAATCAATACAAAACACCCCTTGGGTGATGTTTAGGTGGCGCAATCACAGTTGCAGAGACACCAAGGCAAAAGCCATCTCTAGCACGTGGAAAGCCAGTTTTACAATTTGAAGGAAAACAAATAAAATCATAGTCAGAACAATCGGCAGGGTAAGGCATATTTTCAGTGTACAATTATACACAGGTAGACTATGGCTTTTCATCCTGTTTTTAAAGCCTCAATACCAATATGTGTCCAAATTTTTAGAAGCAGATCTTCGGCATGCAGGTGATAGTTTTTGGTTGTTTTATGGATCATAGTCTTTGAAAGGGCGTAATCAACTTCGTATATAGCTTCTTAGTTTTCGTAATCTCAAAAACTACGACAGTTCTTAGGTCTTAGTTTTCATAGCACCCCAAGGGTAATGGTTGGTGGGGATTACTACAGATTCAAATTGATTGGCACATTTCGTGTACATGCGGCATCACAGGCAGTGATAAGACTCCCCAGGAATGTTGCTAAGAAAAAGTTCAGCCGGTTGAGATATCCATTGAGCCGGCTGACACTAGAAGGCGCTTGCGCCTTCTGTGTCGGCGCAGCCGACACCGGGGGAGGGTATGGGAAGGGGTGGCCCCCTCCCTTTGGGGGGGTCCGGGGGGCCTCCCCCGGGAAATTTTGAAAATTTGAGTTCCATTTGTTGCCCTCTGGTGCAATCTGGGGACTCTTTTAATGCAGTAAACATACATTAATTTAGTACCACAAAAGTGAAAACTGCAGGTGTTGTGGTGGCAAAATATATACATTTGCCATACCATACTGACCTCAGGTTTAATATGATATAAATTCAAGATACACATATACAGTTGATCAAAGTTTGACAAAAAAAACAGGTTAAATTTCTTATATTCATATTAACATATATGAATGACTTATTGATATCTTGATATAAATTCCATTCTGGCACTTATATTAAATCATTCATCGTCTGAAAAAAGGTCACTGTTATAGTCTGAATCACTGTCGTCACTGGGGGTAGGTTCATCAGATCGTAAGTGAAATAATGATCGTAAGTGACAATAATTTATATAGAATGAGAAGTTTTAAGAATGTGTTTGTAGATAGGTCGTTTCTACATTTTGTTTACTGTTACTTAAACCAACAAAGTGTTTGTTTTCTATTGTATTGTAGCAACAAGTGTTTGTTTTCTATTATATTATAACACATATTTTACAAAAACTAATTCCTGCCAGGTACCTCTGGAGAGAAGCTTTGATTAGATCCTCCGCATCTTCAGAGAATGGCTCTGGTCCATTTATGCTGATCAGCATAAGGGAATTGAGCATTTTTTGGCTCAACCGACTCCTCAGGCGGGTCTTCAAACGCTTTAGGCAGCTGACACCCCTATATGGAAATATAGTATAATAAATTCACTTTTAGAGTGCTTATTTCCATAATAGCAGCATTCAGAACAGTTCAATATACATTACCTTTCAGGCCAGGCATTTGAAACTGGCAGTGCAAGTCCCACCTCTGCAAGATGACTTAGCAAACGGAAGATGTCTTTGAGCCTGACTATCTTCTTCATGCATGAATCTGAAAACAAATAATACAACAAAGAGGTTGATTGGCCATCCTATGCAGACACAGACAGTTTTTATTGCATTTTATTGGAGAAGCGAACAAGCAACACTGTGCTTATACAATACTAGTAATTTCTTTTAGTTTTTAGAGTGAAATACGGAAAGGACGTAAAATACATTTTTTTTACCTATGGTCAAAAGGTCTGTTTTCTTCCAACTGTCATAGTTATACTTGATCTTCTGCCATTCTGACTCCAGTTCGCTGTGATCAAGCTACAAACAAAAACAAGGTAATGATGTTATTTCAGTGTTAGTTTAACAACAGACAAAACAGTAAGTAGCTCGGTTCACGTTTCAATCGATACTTCAATTAATAGAGATACAAACTTACGCCAAAGTGTTGTGACAACTGCTTTATGTTGTCTTTTCCATAATCTTGGAAAGAGGGGTCGTCCCGATTTGGGAGATCTTCAACGTGGAAGATGGAGAAGGCCGCCACAACTGGAAGTTTCTCGAACCTCTTCTCCAGGTTTGCTACCAAGGCATCAATATACTTATTGAGGAATCCCTCAGCCCATTCATAGGTGCGGTCGTCAATTATGACATCTTGTGCAATGGGGGATAATCGTCCTAAGAAGTAAATTTGAGAGTACAGCACACATGAGTTAATAATTCCGGTACTATAGAAAGTAAAATAAATAAGAAAATTTGATCAAAACAATTCAATGTTTTAAACCTTAAATAATTTACCTTCAAGTGTTAGATCTGTTTTGAGTTTTTGGAGCATTTGTCCTGTTTTCAGCTCTTCCAGGGCGTCCTTAGTGCACTGGAGGGCAGGCTCAATGTGGCCAAAATTCACTTTGCCTTTTTGAAAAGCCATTGACAAGTAAGCCAGGTGAGGCAGAACACTATGCAGGATGTACAACGCTGCAATAAATTTGGCATTTTTGATGTTCTGGAGCAGACCATAGGCCATAGCATCAGACTCAGGTAAGCTACTGAGGGCTAGCATCACAGCTGGAAGATCTTCAAAAAACGAAGCAACAGAATTGTTGAAAGACAACCATCTTGTCTTGCAAGCTTTCTTCAGCTTTTTGAAGACATTCTTCTTCGATTTTCTGTTGAGGCCAATGCTGTGAAGCTGCATCTGGGTCTTCATGTATGCCTTGGTGCGCTTGGATGAGTTTTCCATGCTTTGCCACAGCTGTCGAATTATGGTTGCCATGTGATCAACGTACTTCAAATCTTGATCAGCATCAACACAAGCCAGTGCCAGCTTATGACAAACGCAGTGGATGTTAATCATTTGCGGACAATCGCGCTTGAGCTTTGCTGCCAGCCCCTCTCTTTTTCCAACCATCACACTTGCCCCATCAGTACAGAGCCCAGTCAGCTTTTTAAGCCCAATGGCCTTGAACTGGTCGACGACGATGTCGTACAGTGCTTGGCTGTTGGCAGAATCACTTTTTTTTAAGGCATCCTCGGCAAATAGAAACTTAACCTCCACATTTTGCAGGCCATGATTGTAAAACTGCACAAAACCAATAAACTGCTCAATGACACTCACATCCATGGCATCATCGCAAAGAAGGCCGACAGCTGAGGACTTGTTGATGAGAGCTACAATACGTTCTCGTAGCTCATCTCCAATCGAGTGAAATATCTCAATGGTTGACTGTTGGGACCTGTGCATAAAAAATTTCATGGTGTGGTTTCCAGCACGCTCAAGAAGAGTCAGCAGAGATGGGAACTTCTTATTTGCCACCTCTTCTTTTGCGAGCCAGTATGCTGAAAGAAACGCGTTCTTCAGGATGGTGTCTTGGGCTTGATCTTTTTGCACAGATAATTTGTGGAATTGTGAGACTCGCTGTGTGTGCTCAACCTGCACTGAAGATTTATGGCTTGCACTAGAAAGATGGTCCCCCAGGGTACCTGGCCGCATACGCACAGATGGTTTCTCGCAGAAGGGGGCGAGTCGAGCCTCCCCTTGCATGTGCTTCATGCACAAAAGGCAGAACATTCCCCTGTCTTCAATGAAAATAAGCCACCAAAGGCCAGCATCTAAATCAAAAGCGCTATTGATGTTTTTAGATTTTCCGTCATTTTTCGCTTTAAGGGATATCCACTCGTGCTTAAATTTGCCAGCATTCAAGTTACAGTGTCCCGGCTTTTCCAAACACAAATCATGATGATGCACCTTCTTGATATCATCATTCGGGAACATCTTGCCTACAATGTCCTTAACTTCACGGCTGCAATTGATCGAAGGTGACTCTGAACAGGGAATTGAATTACTACTAGTTGACAACATCAAATGCTGTGAGGTGGGTGGTGTTGCAACATAAATGGATGACCCTTTAGCACCGGAAGTCGAGGTCACAGGCGCAGAAGACACAATAGGCGGCGTAATAGTAGGCTCCTCCGCTACTTGAGGAACAGCAACTGCTGGATTGCCATTGCCTAAAGAACAAGGTCATCTTACTATTTGTATGCTTTCATTCTTTCCCAAAAGGGAAAATAAAACAATATAGACCGTCTTAATAACGCTTATAAAAAGAAAGCGCACTAGCGCTTTAAACTTGCGAAACTGTTGTCAGGTAACATATTTAGAAAACCTGCATGTTCTAATTTAACTGTAATTACCTTGCTGCCTTGAACCAAAAAATCCTCTTATATCAGCTTGATCGCGTTTTCTTTTTCGTGGATTTTCCCCTGATGATGCCATGATAAATCGATGATTAAATCTTGAGAGCAGAAACAACGGTGGAAGAACGTAAATTTTCGCAATTGTCGGGAACCTGCGGAAGCATTGAGCAATCTCGTTCGCGCTCTTCCGGTAAAGGGACCTTGTAACGAGATTTCGTTCCCAGTTTTACCGCGACTCCTTGCATGCGGGGTTACTAAGCTTCGTGTTGACGAAATGGAGGATTCAAGAAACGGCAGAGAGACGAGACAGACGTAGTAGTTTGTGCTCAAAACACAACTTTATTTGAATTGTTATACCTTTAATAATATGATAGAGTATTTATTTTACGATTTGATACCTTTTTGAACGATATTGCTTGATATCGATCGACAGAAACCGTGGAACTCAAGAGCCGTCACGCGTTGTTCTTTAGTCGGGCGATCGCCGGCCAAATTTCAGCCGGCGATCGCCCCTTTCTCAGCCGGCGAATTTCGCCGGCAGCCGGCGCTTAGCGACATCCCTGGACTACCGTGACTAAATAAAACATCAAATATCTATCTATCATAGTATACAATGATGCGCATGCTACACTGTGATATTGGTTTTTGCCAATGATCTATTAGAGTACAGATCATACATGAATGATAAATGTGACCCTCCACGGGAAAACGTACACTAACGACCTTTCGTTAAATGTTAGAAAACTAACGGATACTTAACTAGGCTGGTAACTAAAACTAGGCTGGGTCTGTAGCGCTTGATAGAGGATTTACAGTAGTTTACTTCCAAGCAAGGACAAGGGGAAAAGATAGCTCAAATGCACTTTACTAATCTAAAAAAAAGAAAAAAAAACTAGAAGCACCGCTAGCACCGGCACCACAGCTATGAATCGAACTGGGAAGCGAGGATTTGCAAATGAAATACATAACCAGTGCGCCTCGAAAGTATGATATTTTTACAAGGAGAGTGATAGCACAATCATGTCACTTGAAAATGAGGCAAGCTTCTGGCCTGAAAGCGAGGTAGAAAGGAAAATGCCCCCAATCTCGCCGGCAACTACCTGTTAATCGAAAAAAGCTTCGACAGCCCAAATATTTTGTAAAGTCAAACAATATTGTACATCACTCATACATAACACATACAAACACTTGGTGTGATTTATTTTTCCTTTAAACTACGTAGAAGTACAATCTGCGTAAACGGGGCAAAAGTAGCAAGTTTTATTAGAAAACCTGAAAAACGTTAACAGTCTTTTAACATCACAAACCTTAGTGTCCCCTTTTAGCAAACTTAAGAGCACGACATCTATCATTAATCTTTGTCTTAATAAATTTCCACAGTTTCTCTTTTTCGACAGCAGATTCCACTGGAAACTTGCTAAACACTAACACTTTTAAAGAATTTAACTTGTTTCTATCTAAAGACAGTTTGCCATGAGTACCGTCTGTGTTGCTGCTGATTAATTCTTCATCAGTGAAGAAGTATGGCAGTAGCTTCACTGCACATCTGTGTCGCTCGTTCTCTTTTCTGAGTGCTAACTGGACTCCCCGCACCCTCTTTGGAGTGACACAAGTCCTTATCACCTCTTCGCCAACCGGGGTTTCTGCTGTGGGCACCTGCCTCATCGTTGCTGACGTTGGCGTGGCTGGCATCAGTGAACTCTCTCGTGTAGCTGGCGCAGGTGGCACCGTGGATTGAAAACACTGGTTTTGTCACCTTGAAGTAGGGGTAAAAAGAAACTTGGATCCGGTTCGCGTTTCGCGTTTGTTGTCTTTAAGTTTGCTATAAATACATCCAGACATTGAACATATAATCAAAATACAATATTGGATTTTAATCGGTTAACTGGTACAGCTAGCGCATAAAGATATCTTAAACTCTACTGGCTACACTTTTTAAATTTTTTACATGAACAATTTTTGATACCTAACAATAACTGATCACCATTAAGCAAATAAAGCAACAGGTCCAAAGGTTCAAGGTGCGGGAGCCACTAAGTCCTCTGTACCAGGTTTACAAAATTGGCGTATCTCCCGGAACAGGTAGTTCTTACGCTCTTGTGAGAGACCATAGGGCCTGATCGTAGGTGGAAGAACAGAAGAAGGAGGGAGATTCGCTTGATCTTTCAACAACATAAACGGTTGCTCGGGACTTGTGACTAACTCTTTGCAGAAAGCCATTCCTGGAGTGGCCTTTGAAAATCTGAAATGGTGATACTTTTTGACATTTGGGATTTTCTTAAAGTATGGTTCCAAAAAGGACGCCCAGTCGTATACACTGGAACAATGACTCTTCCATCGTGAGTTCCCACGATCTGGGCTTTGTTGTTCCCAGTAGTGCTTGACTTTTCAACAAGGCTCGCCAGCTCGTAAATAGATGATACGTAGGTGAGTTTGTATGATTTTTTTAATCCTCCCAAAGCAATGATCTGGTCCAAATTTCGTGTGGCCAGCAATAAGGAACGAGTTCAGGATTGTGTTATGGAGGTTCATCATAATTCTCCAGGCTAGGTGCCATAGAAAAAAATTGTTTTTATTCTGGCCAGAGCAGTTGTCAGCGTTGCGACGCATGTCGGTCTCCCCGAGTCTGTGATGCTGAAAATAATAATGGGTGTAGCTGATGGTCGCATTCGCTCCTTTTCCAGTCGTAGCAGCCTCGTCAATCAAAAAGTTGACTTGCTGTGGAATTGCCTCGCACATAACTCCAAATATTCCGCTTTTTTGGGGAGTCTTGAAGTAAATAGGGCCCGGTTGCATAGGATTGCTAGGGATATGTACTTGCTGAGCAAAGTCAAAAGAGTAGTGTATTGTCGCCTTTCAATCGACTTTGTGTGCCTTGTGGAACCAGAGATATCACATTTTTGTTTCTCGTGATGCCACAAATTCACACTCGGCGGCACATGCCAATAATTTTTTATAACAATCACTTGCCTGTGAATTACTCATCAATAAATGGCGCATCATAAACACTTTCATAACGAAATTCAACGTTTAAGACAGAGTATTTTGCCGTTTCAATTGTCTCTGTGCATCTTGCCAGAAATATCATTGTAACAAATAAAGCTGAGACTTTTGTCACCAGATGTTTTTGTGCAGGAGAGCACAAAAACAGAACTCTCAGAAGCTCTCTGTAGCGTCGTTTGAGTTTCCATTATCAGAAACGAATGTTAGTTGTCGCTAAGTTTTCTAACGAGTAAAGATCATCAGACAAACGGATTGACTAAGGAACGGATGGGGTGCTAACGGATTAACCAACGCCACTAACGGATATGATTAACGCTCTGACCGGCAAGAGTCACCAGCTAACGGATTTACCAACGCTTCTAACCGTTTTCATCAATTTTTCTAACGGATGACTAACGGGTAGCTAACGTTTTAGCCCGTTTAACGGAAGGTCGTTAGTGTATGATTTCCCGTGGAGGGTCACAAATGGTAAACAACCAAGGTTCCATACATCACTTCTAGGCTTTAATGTGTCAATCAAAAGTACTAAGATTCCTCTGTCCAGCTTCGGTCAAAGGATCTACATCTCAAGGATAAGTATTAATTGCTGTTATACTCACAACCATATCTCTAGGAAGGTTCCTTTGTTTACCAGATGCATTTGTGACTTTTCTCACGGCAGGTGGCAAGTCTTGCAGCTGATCTATTTTGTCTACGAGCAGGGCAATTTGACATTGCAACTTCAACACCTCGGTGTGCATGTCATTGCAATGCGATCTGTAAGGTGTACTGGAGTTTTCTGGTGCCGACGAAATTCTGCTTGGTGTTCTAATCAAACGGCTAGCTGGGGGAAAGTGGGTGACATATCTTCGTCCATATTCAAATCCATATGTAAAGAGAATTCCCAGCTGCTACTCTCGCTTAGTGGGCGATGAATGTCCTGAAGGTTTCTTGTGACAAGAACGTTAGGACAATTTTGCCCTCGTGGAACTGTTACCTAAAAATAAAAGAATAGGAGAAGGTTTTACTTTATAACAGTTTTTTATTACTACTATTCGTTACATTTTGGATTAACTACTTCTATATTGACAAATGAACAAAGAAAACTGAAATCAAAACCAAAGAATCAAAAATAATTACAGCCTTACCGTGCGCTGCTGTGTGATCAGTCTTTGTGGTGAATCCAAAAAAATCCATCATTACTTCCAGAATTTGGAGAAGTTGGGCGATACACATAGCAGAATTTATAATGAAAAGAAGACAACTCAGAAGGACACAACAAGAGAACACGTTGCTCGACAAAGCGTAAGCAAATTGACGCCCAAAATCCCACCGATTTTGCTAAACACCATCAAACTGGTCATTTCGCTCACTTGATTGGAGGAAATAGAGCACATGAGTATAGGACATCAACATATTTTGTTTACAAATCAAAAATGCGCACCATACCCAGAAAGACGGACATCATGGGTAGAAAGAGGTATTTTTGTAGTCACTGGAATGATTTTGTGAGTCGAGGTACACGCTCAAGACATCTACAAGATCTTGCAGCAACAGATGAAGCTTTCTTTGACAGTGACCACAACAAAGTACCATCTGAAAGCGATCGGGAAGATCTTGATGCGTTTGAGGACAACTAACAATGCCAAACGTTCTCTTTTACTAAAGAAAGAGCCCTATTGAACTGAAAACATTGGACAAGAGAAAGCAAGATATATACTGTTTTGTATTGCGGATCTGCTCAACGTAACACATTTATTTACATTTATATAAGGAATCATGAGGTGTTTTAAGGCAAAAAAAAACAATCAGTGAACTTAAAAATTTTGAACATAGCCTATGCAAACAGAGATCAGTGCCATAAGTGCTAAATCGCGAAAAGTGTAACCAATTTAGCGGTGCTATTATCCGATTTAGTACTACAGATTTCTGTGAATGTTACTTAGAATAACTGAAGTCTCCGATTGTGCGATTCTTCTGATTTTTCCGATTCTGCTATTTTATGACTGAGTGTGGTATTCTACGATTCTAACAAAAACTCATTATGGTAAAAGCAAGTCTCCGACTGTATGATTCTTCCAATTTCTTTCTATTCTACTGTGAGTTGCTTAAAGAACGAGAAATAGTTATAGTTGCAACTCCTATTTTGCTATTCTCCAGTGTAGCACTTGTAAACTACTTATACTATTGTAGAATCGGAGAATCGTAAAATGATTTTCGAGAATCGAGATGAGAACTCTATGATAAAAACAAGTCTCCGATTGTACGATTCTTCTGATTTCCAGCTCCAATTCTTGCAACTCCTATTTTACTACTCTACGATTTAGTGCAAACACATTCTTCAAAATGAAAGCTACATAAAATAAAATTAAATATTTCAGTAGGTTATTATTTACGTGCAAAAATAAGATATTATGAACTGTTCTAAGGGAAAAAACAAACAATGAACCTAAATTTTTTAACCGTAGTCAGTGCATTGACGTTCTTTGAAAATGAAAACTAGATAAACTATAATTTAATATTGACAGAGATCTGATACGGGGGTATAAATTTGCTCCGTCAGTGTTCTGGTAAATGGGCAGATGAAGTTTTGGAGGAAGAGGAGGCGGAGTAGGTGTTGGTGTTGCTGATGTTGATGATGATGATGGAATAGGTGATAGCGGTGCTGTGTGGGGAGCAAAAATGACACTTGTGTCATCTGATGTAGGTGGTTGACTGCGTGAAAATAATAGAAGGGGGATGTAGAGTAAAATTAAAGGCAGAAAAACAGCTAAACGTAAAGGTAACGAAACTGGAAGGATGAGATGATGTGTTGAAGATTGCGGTGAGTTGAAAGACGGAGAAAATGCTGATGACTACACAGGGACAGAGACAGGAGAAGGCGATGTTGATGACAAGGGTGGAGAAATACAAACTTGAGGAGGAGATGGCAGTTTTGAGCAGTTCAGTGTGGATGGCCATGCTATATTGGTTGTGTGAAAATGGTGAATGCAGGATGATTTTACTTCGAGGAAATGGTGGCGGCATGGTTGAACTTGGTGATGTGAAGAAACGCAAAAAGGTAAAAATGAAGAGCAAACTAAAATCTGACAAGAGTGGAGAAATACAAACTTGAGGAGATGGCAGTTTTGAGCAGTTCAGTGTGGATGGCCATGCTATATTGCTTGTGTGATAATGGTGAATGCAGGATGATTTTACTTCGGGGAAATGGGGGTGGCATGGTTGAACTTGACGATGTGAAGAAACACAAAAACTTAAAAATGTAGAGCAAACTAAAATCTGGGCATACGGCGAGCAGCTTGAACTAAAAAGTGGCTTGAAGTGCTCAATTATGATGGCATCGTGGACTTCTTCTTTGGAGCTCAATGCAGTTGAATTGTAAAAAGTGCACTGACCTTTTACAAGGTTAGTGACTTTAAAACATTTCTGCATCTGTGCAGGTCTCGAGGCCAAGGTAGATAACATGGGAATGATAAACAGGGTGAACTCCATTGTACACTGTGGTGGGAATACTGGCGTAAAACAGGTATCAACTGGCAATGAAATGACGCGAACCTAGTCTTTTCAAGCAACGTGTTACTGTTCTGACTCTGTTACTTTTATTATGGTTGCTGTGATTTTTCTCACATACGCCAATGTCGTATTAAGGTTATTAGTTCTCTTTAGAAGGTGGTTTCCATATATATGATCGTTACGATTGGTGAAAGAAATCTGGTGAGTAGGGGTCAATTCACGAAAGTCTGCTTTCTCAGATTGCC